AAAGACAGGGATGGATTAGAAGAGCCGAAAGGAAAAGTTAAAGTTCAGAGCTGGAATGGGTGAGTTCACTCATTTGGGAATTTTGAAAATAAACCCAGTCTCACACTTATTATCGAACGCTCACATTATCGCATCCAGACATACTAAACGCACAGGCCCTCCCACCCATCATGATTAACAGTCTAATTTAGACCACATTGTTTTAGTGCCTTGCGTGTGAAACCACATGATGCAAAACAAGGACTCCTACATACTCACTGGTAATAAATATACTAACATGGTAAAGAAAAGCTTAATGTTTGAAAAGCGCACCGCACCCCTTGAAAGAGTTCATCCTTAACCAAATGCCGTGTGTATCTGTCAGTCAGGTTTGCCCTTGTTGCTAACTCCCTCGTCAAATGATGCACTGCAATGAATTTCATTCCAGAGTGGCCATCCAGAGCAGCAGGGCTACTTCAGATTGCCTCCTCTCTGTGGGGGATAATGGGAAAAAGGGCACCTCCGGATAGCCCTGCAACAGGATTCCCTCTAAGCTGCTAACTGACTCAGGATTTTTACAGAAAGTGAGGGAAGGCTTTGTGGGATGCTTTGCTGGAAATTCACTAAACGTTGCTGCAAACATTACAAACTACACACATTCAAACATACAGTATACACGAAGAGGCTGACAAAGACAACACGCTGTCTACATGCAGTTATAATCAAGATACACTTTTTGTGCAGTTTTTGTGTAGTCAAGCTAAAGTCTGTCTGTCCGAGCATACGACACAAAGCATAATCAAAATTTTGCACTGAATACCTGTTCAAGTCACAGAGGCCAACTGGAGTCTGATTAATGTGTATGCATTACAGTTCAAAAGTGTGGGTTCGGTAAGATTAAATAAATAAATAAAAAGTCTCATGCTCACCCAGGCTGCATTTATTTAGTCAAAAGCACAGGAAAAACAGGGGAAAAAATAGGATTTGTTTGAACATTGCAACATTATAAAAGACTTTAGTGTCAATTTAATGTATTTTTATCAATTTAATGCATCCTTGCTGTAAAAAAAAAACAAAAAAGAAAAATCTTACTGACCCCAGACTTTAGAATAGTAGTGTACATGCTGGACAAAGCTGAGCTAAAATCATATTATGGTATGTTCATCAAGGTCCAAATTCATAAAAAAAACAACAAAAAAAACAGATTGTTAACATTTCAGTCAAACTAAAGAGTGTACAATCCGAAGTTGTGACAGACTTCACCACCATATTGTGATGTACTTCCCAGTGAAATTGCTTTCAAAATAGAAAGAAAAGTAAGGTGGTGCTTGATTTTATCATTTGATGATTGGATTGTGAATACCAGTTTCATACCAGAATGGCAGATCTAAATGCGACTGGTTTATCTGCAACATGTTCTGGCCTATGTCAGCAGAGAGTCATTTCACAGGAAGAGCAAATTTTCATGAAATTTGATTAAATATTACAAGGTACAAAAAAAAACATTTTTTTGCACAGATTAATGTTCACAATAAGACAAGTAACATGTATTAAAGAAAGCAGGGTAGATTTTGATTTGGTTTGAAAATAAAAAAATAAAAAAAGGTTTAGACTGACTGAAATCAAACTTTTCAAAGAACATGTGGACTGGACACACTTATTGCATCTCTCACTCACTCTTATTTTTCCAGTTCCAGTGTTGCTAGATTCAGCAGGAAACAGTTCAGGTCTGCGTGGAATGTGATATGACAGAGGGTCATTTCATATAATCCAGTCAGGGCTCATTTTGTTACCCTGGTGACATGTCTGTTTATGGCTGTCAGAGTTCCAACACCCTTCTGCCATATTCCTACCAACACTGAAGATTCTCTCTTCCAGACCGTGATGAGCCTTGAATGAAAGGAACTGTGTTTGAACAGAATAACAAAATGGCTTGTTGCGTAGCGAAAGAAAGAAAGATAGGCATGAGTTAAACTTTCACATGAAGGTGGATTAACAAAATACTTCTGTGCACACACACACACACACACACAAATTCAGAGTTCTGCTGATGAGGCCACCCTGCTGTGGTCAGAGACTTGAAGCAGGCTCTCTGTGTCTCTCTGATGTTTCAGTAAAGAAAGAGGGATGAGAGATGAGAGGGAGGTGGGGAACATGAGCAGCAGAAAGCAGAGAGAAAAGATGTAGGGGGTTCTCAACATGACCTTAATTGTTAACCTTAAGTCTTACCAGAAAAAAAGAATGAGATGTTTTTATCTTTTTCTGCCCCTTGTTCCTCAGCCTCTGCTCTATTCTCTCTTTTAAAAAAGTACAAAAATTGTGCCTTTGCTAGTCAGTGGGGCAGTATACTCAAGATACACGTTTGTTCCTCATCTATCCATGTATGTACCCCTAAGATACTAATGTGCACCATTTGGGGGTACAAAGAGGTACTTTGAGGGTACTGCCCCAGCGACAACTAGGTACAGCTATTATACATTTTTTTCTGACAGCGAGTCAGAGTCAAGCAGTGAAAGCAATATCCTACAGTTTAACATGCTATACTCCGCCTAAAACTATATGAAAGAACATTTCTAATTGTTTTATATAAATTAATTCACAAGTATTTTAGGACCTTATGTTACTATAGAGACATGGAATATTTGTGCTTAATTATTTTAAAGGTAGATAGATAGGGCTACATTTACACTGTTGCTGCGGGTTATTTTTTAGTCCGCGGGTTAAAGCAATACCCGACGGAGGGGAAAGCCACGGGAAAAAACGCGATTGGGCTAGTTTGGTTTCGCAGACCCTGCAAAAGAGGGATATATATTTATTTTGAAATTTGCTTGCACAAAGTAAACTGTCTGAAATACAAAAGAAATCTAATATCAGCCAATATTGAAAGCAATATTGGTAAAATAAATAAAGAAATATTATCAATATACTGGGCATCCTAAAATATACCAAATATACCAATATACTGGGCTTCCTTAAAAAAAAATTATAATAATAAATAAAAAGATTAGTGTGATATAATAAATGCAAATAAAACAAAAACAAGTAACTAGTGGTAACATTCTTTATTGGCATCTATGGTTCTATAAAGAACATTTAACATCCATGGAACCCATCCCATGCAGAATGCACACAAGGTTCTTTATAATGGAAAACTTTTCCTTAAATTATTAAAATGTTCTTCACACTAAGACAAAAAAATGGTTCTTTAAGAACTGTTTACTGAAAGGATCTCTGCAGAACCCAAACCGGTTCTTGTATGGCATGAACCATGGAATGTAGGTGGTGATGTAAAGGAATGGTGGCATATATATTTTGAACACTTTAAATCATTACATTTCCCCTTGCACAAGAACATGCACACATGCTTTTCATCGCACTGCTCAGCTCACTCAAGACCACACCATTAATCCAGACTCTGATTGGCAAGTAATTCTGCAGAGCGCTATTATGCCCCAGGCGCTCAGCCCACTCCTGTGAGAAGCACAGCATGTTCACCAGCTCACTGGAGCTATGACCTCAGGCTTTGACACGGCGATCTGCCCCCACCACAACCCAGAGGCGCAAAATCTATCCCAACACCCTATTAGATATTTAAAACCAGCTAATCCCCTGCACCTACAGTATACATCTACAAGAAAATCCAATGAAACCTTACTGATGCAAGAAGCAGCTGAGCTTTCTCAGTCACATTTCCTTATCTGCTGCTTGCAATACATTCAGTGTCTGGAGAATGATTAGTGAGCCCTGTTGTTTGACCTCTCACCCCAAGGCTGGTTATCTATGCCACCACACACGTCCCTGTCCCATCTATATTACATTTTCACAACCATAATTAAAACCACTGAGCTTTTACATACGCCTTCTACAGGAAGAAATCAAGAGTGTGTGCCTTCATAAATATTTACAGTAAGACATTAAATTTTAACGTGTTGAAAATACTGTCCTACAAAACTTCCTTGTACAGTGTCCTGTAAAGGTGAATCAGAGGGTTGTGCTTATGAGCTACTTGGTGAGGAGCAATGACAATGTAATTGAAACCTCTATTATGGTTTGTTACTGATCAAAAGTCCAAATACAGAAAGTATTACAGTGTTAACACACGTACATGTAACACGCACTGTGACTGCTTTCATCAAGAGTATGTCAAACTTGCACAAATGGTGGTGTATCCAAATGCACATATCCAGACATTTAAGAAATTGACATAAAAAAGGAATTAAAATAGACTTACATTAGCTAAAATCACACTGGGTTTTACTTGAACTAGCTTTCATCTCCCAAATTTCAGCGGTTCTTTCAGAGCCTTTACTATTAAGTTATAATCTCAATCTAGGTATCAATAAAAACAAATCATGCCGAGCTCTTTGAAATGCAATGCAAGTAGCAGCAGGGTAAAACAACAAACATATGAACTAAATATGGGCAACATGTCAGTTATGACATTCAATATTCAACATTTATATTTGCATAAAACAAGAAAACTAGATTAATTAAAGATGCACAGCCATTTCTAAAAGTGTATACCGTGGCCAGACACTGTGAAAAAGACGTGCTCTTATTGTGATTAATGAACAGAATTATTCCTGTCTGAAAATCGAACAAAGATGCATTAATCAATACTAGCCAGAAACAGCCTGTTGAAACACTTTCACACAGAACATCAACAGGCATAAGTGAGGTGCAAATGAACGTGTCTGGTCTTCTATAAGCATTTGGCTTCATCCTGCTGCATTATAAGAGGCAATTCACCAACCACACAGCTTTTCATAGGGGAGCTCACCTGAGCCAGTGCAAGCAATAAAGCAGCTTCAAAGAGTCCCTCTGCCCCCCGAATTATTTCTAGGCTACTTCATTTTGGCATTTGGTGAATATTGTACCGCTGGCTCTCGATGATGAGCCGGAGAATTGAATTATAAACTATGAATGAGGCGCGGGGGTCACAAATGGCGCGTAATATCAGCCCTCTGTTCAGGGGAAACTCGCAAAAATACACTATCGTTCCACAAAAAAAGGCAACTTACCGAGAATCCAGCCCAAAAGGGACACGAATGTCTCACCCTCGGAGATGTCGTGAGGGCCAAAGCGGCGAAACTGACAGCCAAAATGAGACTGCCGAGCACCATCTGTGAGACTCCCAGAGAAAGCATGATGCGAGTCCGGGTTCGAAACTCCCTCAGCCGCGAGAGGCTGCGGGACAGAGATACCGGGCTCAGAGACCGACCCCTCGGCATGGCACTGACGGGCATGGTCACGACTAAACAGTTTAAATGAAACCAAAACTTAAGTTAAATCAGCGGGCTTCGGGTTTACAGGACACCTGGGTTCAGTCGCTCCGACACACACGACGTAAAGACGAATTCATAGCGTGTTGGCATGACGCGCAGACCATCCTCCCGTTACACGAGGAGCCTCACCATCTCCTGCGCTCACTCTTCTGAATAGTGCGCGGTTTTCAAGCAGGTGTTTCAGCTAGCGTTATCCAAAATCATGTCAGTAAGACAATGAGGTAAGCTCTGCGTAAACGCGCGCTGTATGGTCGCCCGCTTCTTGGAAACGCACGGGATAGGTGATCCATCCGTTCACAGCCGTGACAGTCCGTTAATGAAATCTCTCACGGCTCTGAACACAGAACGTCTAAATAATAAAGCTCGTATTCAGAGGAACGCGCTTCACGTCTGTGGCGCGTATAACGCGGTTTGAGGTTCCACGACGCGTTGCAACTTCCGACTCCAGTGAGTGTAATAATGTTCGCTCGACTGTTGTACAGCAGCAGCAGCCGCAGCAGCAGCCTCGCGCCAGCAGTCTGTCAGTTAGACGCGTGACTGTGAGCAGGTGCTTCGGTAGAGGAGGAGACGGACTGACGAGCCGCCATATGTAGATTCAGATAGATGGATGCGGGCAATGACATTCATGGAGCCGTAAAAGCCAGAGTCCGTCAATGGATATAATGAGCCGACTCAATCATTATTCATATTGATACTTTTCATTGAACTCGCTTTAAGACTGAGCCTTTGCGTTCTGTTAATATGCCATTTAAGCAATGTCACGAGAGTTAGAGTGCTGCTGTACTGAAGGCTCTCATCAGATATTTAGTACTGCTGCACCATTGTGATTGTGATGATGGTGTTATACAAGTTATAGTAGCCGACAACATTCGTTTCAGAAAATGTGCTAGTTTAGTTGGGATAGCCTACTGTTCTCTATAAAAACAGAAGTCAAAGCTTCAACCCTCATGTATCACCAAGCAAGGCGCAGACTGAAAGCAGGTCTGGAACGGAGTATGTGATTGGAGCGGAGCGACTGAGATGTTCTCTCCATAAATCAAGGCGTTCTGTATTGAATCCGCTGAAATTACCTTTCCGGGTTTTCACTCTTCTAACCTACAGAGAAACCCGTTCAGAGCGATCATGGGGCGAAAGAAAATGCATACGATTCCACTTTTAAAAACGCACTCCTTGCTGCAGACAAATTCACTCTGCAGCGATTTTTAGATAAAACACGATGTATCGACAAAAAAATAAAAAATAAATTTTATTCACCGACTTACTCCTGCCTAAATCTCAATAAACAAGGAGAAGCGAAGCTAAACAAACACGGACCCCTTGTCCAAATACCCACACTTGCGGTCTTGGCCACTTCAGAGCGCTGCGCGCGACAGGAAGTAAGTGACTGTCCCAGGTCTTAAAAATACCAAAGTGCAGTGCCCTTAAACGGATAGTTCACCTAAAAATGAACATTTGATGTTTATCTGCTTACCCCCAGGGCATCCAAGATGTAGGTGACTTTGTTTCTTCAGTAGAACACAAACGAAGATTTTTAACACAAACCGTTGCAGTCTGTCAGTCTTATAATGGAGGTGAATGGGAATAATGGCTAAAACATACACAAACAAAACCAAATTAAACCCTGCGGCTCGTGACGATACATTGATGTGTAAAGACATGAAACGATCGGTCTGTGCAAGAAACTGAACAGTATTTATATTGTTTTTTACCTCTGATTCACGCAATGTCCGAACTGTCCTGAGCACATTCTCGACCGCAGGCGCTTGAGGTGTCGTCGTCTTGCTTTACGGCGGATCGCAGACTTATAAGTGCATTACTACCACCTATCTCTCAAATGGACCATTGACACTCTATCTACAATCTCAATTAGGAGTGGCAATGGTCCATTTGAGAGATAGGTGGTAGTAATGCACTTATAAGTCTATTTCGTCATCGCCTCTACTAGCCTACTGAACAGACATTTAGAAGTTGATTTTAAAATGCAAAGTATTGAAAATAATAATAAAACTCTGTAAACACTTGTGTTTTTACAACACTACAAGTGTGTCCCATCAGGTAATGAAAAGTTGTACACACACTTGTGGTCTTCATGCTCACTTGAACCAAATACAGGAAATACGTCATATGGTCGTGGTCAAGTGCAAAGACCACAAGTGTGGTTATTTGGACCAGGCATGAGACGCCCGACACTGTTAGTGCGCTTGAAACACTGATCGGCCAATCACATTTGAGGAGGAGAAAAGTTGACCGAATAAAATCTATTGAATTTAATCTATATAATATCATCAGCAACATTTATGACCAAAACATACTTTTGAGTTTTCTTAAAAAATTATGTATTTTACACAAACTGCCTAATACATTAAAATGCAGACTGTACTGATTTAAATTGATCATTTGTTTACATGGTTGGAGAAATGACCAGACCTGTTCAATTCCAGTTTGCGTTTTTGAAAGATGTCGATGTCAAAGCTCCTTAAAAGAAAGCATGTTAAACATGCCATAATATACACAGATACAACCATTACCATATTTGTGTCATGTAACATGTGCAAGGTCTATAGTTAATATATTGTTAAAATAGCTCTGTCTCACACAAATCATTACATAAGTAAACATGACAGCAGTCACAGAGGAAAACTGTAGATTTCAAAGTATGATACATGAAAAAAAAAATGTTTGAGGAAATATACATTTATCATTCCCTTTTCCCAACAATTGCCTCATAGTAAAATAACTTTTTAAACAAAAAAAAAACCTTTCTATAGTGTTAATCAATTCTGACTGTAATAAAATGCGTGTCTCACTAACTTATTATTTCTTTAAACAAAGCATGCCGTTTCATTGGGCATTCAAGGAGTAGATGGGACCACTTGGCTGGGCCTGGTTTAACCAATCGATTAAAGCTACAGTATTAAATCTGTTTTATAATCGCCAAACGCAATAAACATTGTAAATGAATCTGCACAGTGAAGCATTTGCGCCATCTGCAGGTCACCAAGTGGCACTACACATTATACTGCAGTGTGCGGTCGCAATGAGACACATTTTCGAAGTCCCCTTGCTACTATAGCTACAACTACAACTACGAAAATCCACAATAAAATTACAACAGTGTATTTTAAAAATGATTTTATTTTTTAATAGTGGCATACTGGAAATAGTGTTGAAAAGGGAACAAACTCTGCCACATGTGAATAGCTAATGACCAGTCAAAGCTGTGTTATATTGTCTAAAGAAAAAAAAAAAAGTCTTCCGGTGTGCCATAATAAATCGTCTATTAGTACAAAAATACATTTCAGGACACACAATATAGCATTCAGTATCACAAATAAATGCGTGAGACATTTCGAGCACACCGTTTAGAAGAAACAGGTTTTGAGAATAGTTTACATCAAGCACTTTCCTTTGTAAATAAAGAATAAAAAGATGGTTATCATTAAAAACGCTTATATTTTAGTGTGTATCTGTAGAAAAGATGATATTATTACTAAGTACACGTTCCGAGGCTCAAGGGAAGATCCAGAATACAAAGACAACCGTTTTCATTTCATTCATCCTCTTTTATAAACGTTTCCCCCCTTAAGTTTTATGCAAAATAAAGACATACAAAAAAAGTAATTTACAAACCAATAATGAAGGCAATATGCTTGCTTTATGTACAGCCAAACAATCTCCTTCCATCTTTTTTATTTGTGTTTCTCTTCAAAGGTCATGTGCATAGCAGATAAAAAGAGAAAACCTGTTCTTAGCCTTTACGCTGTTCTTGTGTGCAACACCTAGGTTTATTTGTACAGCGGGTTGACAAAAATGGCAGAAAGACAACTTTAGTTTCTTCATAATTGAAACCAAAAAGGTTTTTGCTATTGAAAAAAGTGTCATTTCAGATAAGGCATCACTGCTTTAAATGAAATAAAGACATACAAAAAAAGTAATTTACAAACCAATAATGAAGGCAATATGCTTGCTTTATGTACAGCCAAACAATCTCCTTCCATCTTTTTTATTTGTGTTTCTCTTCAAAGGTCATGTGCATAGCAGATAAAAAGAGAAAACCTGTTCTTAGCCTTTACGCTGTTCTTGTGTGCAACACCTAGGTTTATTTGTACAGCGGGTTGACAAAAATGGCAGAAAAACAACTTTAGTTTCTTCATAATTGAAACCAAAAAGGTTTTTGCTATTGAAAAAAGTGTCATTTCAGATAAGGCATCACTGCTTTAAATGGAGTGAGAGAGAGAGAGCGAGAGAGAGAGAGAGAGAGAGAGAGGGAGTGAGGAAGAATCTGGGACAGAAAGAGGGGAAAAGAGAGAGCAGCGGTCTTCACACCTGAGTCAAAGCACGTGCATAGATCTCGACACAGAAGGAATGTTCCAGTGCTCAAGTTCATAGGTCTGTGAGGAGGCTAATGGTGTCTACAAAGGAGCTATTTAAAAAAAGGTGAGCCTTAGGTTGACACGTCCTTGGCTAGAAAACGTCATACTGTATTATTCTTAAGACGCCGAGATTCTCTCCGACACTTTCCTTGCGCTCGTGACTAGCACTGATCCTGCACCTTGACGTGATAAAAGTCAGGAAATGTGTCAGATGTACACATCAGCTGCTCGACCGAAAAGCCTAGAACTGGAATTCGATATTCTAGAAAAGTTGCACTATACATTAGAATCATAACATTATAGTGTGCATACTATATGAAGTGAAAATACATTTGCAGATTAATATAGTCTATACGTTACAAGGCCTAGACTGAATGGAAGAACCTAATAAATCCTTTAAAAAATAGACGACAACAACTTAATGTGTCGCAAAATAATACAGTTGGCTTATAGAGTGAGTATTAGTTGGTCAGTGGCACAGAGCATGCAGTCCATCAATGGTTAATGTCTGTTTTTGTTATCGTCGAAAGCCTTTAAAAGCACTTAAAAAAAGAAGAGGAGAAAGAAGTAAAAACCAAGAGGACGATGAGGAGATTAAAACAGCACTTCATAGAATGTAACCCTCCCTACAGTCTCAGAGGTTACCGTAAACAAAGCCAGAGTACAGCCAGGAGACCCTTCATTTAGTGTTGCGTAGCGCCTTCATCTTGTGTATGTGCGTGTGTGTGTGTGTGTGTTCATAAGGGGAAAGGTCCTCTCTCCGTTAATCTGGTTCCACATTCAGTAACGGGACCTGCTGTTGCTCTCCTCAGAAATGGTCAATAAGCACAGACACACAGTTGGCTCCAACCAGGTAGTTGGGATCCCCAGGGAGAGAGTTGTTCTGCCAACTCTTAGGATCACCTGGATAAACAACAGAGAAAATGCAGATGAATATGATGGTCGAATGGAGAGAATGGAGATGACCCGCCACGTAAAAACGTTTAGAATTAGTTTTTTTTTTTCCCCAAGAAAGAAAGGAATACGTTTATTCAGCAAGAATGCATGAAATTGATCAAAAGTGACTGAAGAGCTGTTAAAAAAAAAAGTTATATATAATTAAAAAAAGACGACCACTGCCTTGCTAAAGAAGCTGAGGGTAAAGGTGATGGATTGGCCAAGCATGTCTCCTGACCTAAACCCTATTGAGCATCTCAAGGTCTCTAACATCCACCAGCTCCTCCATGTCGTCATGGAGGAGTGGAAGAGGACTCCAGCGGCAACTTTATATATATATATATATATATATATATACACTGTATACACTTGAATAGAAAGTTCAAAAATAGCATTCTTTGAATCCACAAAAAATATTACACAGTACAACTGATTTCATCATTGATGATAATAATGGCAACACTTTACAATAAGGTTCATTAGTTAAAATTAGCTAACTACTTTAGTTAACAAGAACAAAGCATGAACAATACTTCTATAGCATGAATTAATCTTAGTTAAATGTTAATTTCAACATTTACAAATGCATTATTAAAATCAAAAGTTGGGCTTGTTAACATTAGTTAATGTACTGTGAATTAACATGAACTAACAATGAACAACTGTATTTTCATTAACAAAGATTAATAAATACTGTAATGTATTGTTCATTGTTTGTTCATGTTAGTTAATTTATTAACTTGCATTATCTAATGGAACCTTATTGTAAAGTGTAACCATAAACCATAATAATAAATGTTTATTAAACACCAAATCAGCATATTAAAATGATTTCTGAATGATCATGTGATATTGAGGACATTTTAAACTATATTAAAATAGAAAACAGTTATTTTACAATAATATCGTTTTTACTGTATTTTACTTTTGATCAAATAAATGCAGCCTTGCTGAGCATAAGAAACTTCTTTCAAAAACATTTAAACATCTTAGTGACCCCAAACGTTTGAACAGTAGTGTATTACATGTTTCAGTACAAGGATCAATGACAGCAAAATTTATGAATTAAATGGTGAAAAAGCCGCATACATGCTTGTTTTCTAGTCAGATCCACTGCTCTAAAGCCAACAAAACGATACCAAAAATCAAACATAAAACAACACACACATTTGGAGAAACATGACCTTCATTAACAAAAACCAAAGAAAAAAAAAATTCCTCACTTTCATTATTTTATAGCATACTTCCACAGCTGTAACAGTATAATATTGTGCTATTATTTTAGCCCTTGTTTTGCATGAGGAAAAGAGAGGAGCATAGCGGGACGCTTAGAGATAAGACAGGCTCTCAGCATGCGTTATTTGTTCTGACAGAGATAATCAACAGAGCCAGAGCAAGAACCAATAAGCTCATAGCCTAAGGTGCTGTGATGCATAAGAATAAAGTTGTTTTTCCATTCATCAAGGTGAAGTGTGTGATTTTAGCACCACTAGCAGCACTAAACAGAAGTGGAAAAAAAGGTCCATTATCAAACACAAACAGATTTGAGTTCTGTTTGGTGGTTTTGTGGTACAGAAATTACACACTTTATTCGTAAGAATTAAAATAATGGTTACACTACAGTTAACCATATACTTCTAAATCTATAAGGGCCTGAGGATTTCAGAGCCCTTGTGTACTCCACTGTGAGCTCCATCAGAACAACATCTTTGTTAAATCAGTTAGGTAAACGCTCTCTTTCTATGAGAGTGCAGGGAAATTTGCCTGGTTTTAAAATATGCAGATTAGAGGCAAAGGGCTGTAATGGTTTTGGATGAGGCAGGGGTCTCTGATCTCTCCACTACACAATCAGAACGAGAGGTTCATTAGGAGGCTACTCCAGGGCAGTGCCAGGTTTACCAAAAAGAGTTATATAGAGACGAATAAGTGAAACGAGAGAGAGAGAGAGAGAGAAATGAAGACCCAGGGAAAAATATTTGCTGTTCTCCATTAGCGGGACAAAAGCAATTCCAGCATCTCTGCATATTCAGACATTTGGTTGGCTGTGTGAGAATCAGTTTAAAGCACAAAAAATGTGAGTGAATTATGATTAATAGATGTGAATTCCCATTGGCCAATTCATGAAATCATGAGTCCCAAGTGAAGATGGAAAGCCTATTTTTTTTAGTAATGTTCATCTGCAGATCTGTGATTATTCAACTAATCTCGAGGGAGAAATTGAGTGATTTAGTATCCTGATTGAGAGAACACAAAGGCCTATAAACAAATCTGCTCAGTGAAAATGGCTTTATAACTACTCAAACCGAGCACAATGCGGAATTTGTTGGGCCCTGCAAAATACCCATTCGTTACAATGTAATGGATATGTTGTCACTCATGAGTGGAACAATTAATTATTTAAATTTTTTAATATTTAGTTTCGTGTAACTGTGTAAAATGTTTTGTGTAAAATGTGTAACTATTGGGATTGGCCATTTATTCCCTTATAAAATATACAGTACATTCAAAAGTTTTGGATCAATTTAAAATAAATCTCTTCTATTTTTATACATTTAAAAATATAATTTATTCCTGTGATGGAAAAGCTGTATTTTCGGCAGCCATTACTCCAGTCTTCAGTGTCACATGATCCTTCAGAAATAGATAGTTGACAAATAGAAAGTTCAAAAGAACAGCATTTATATGAAATAGAACTCTTTTGTAATATAAATGTCTTTACGGTCACTTTTGCTCAACTCAATAGAAGAATTTCTTTCAGAAAAACATCTTACCGACCACACTGATAAATGGTTAAATGGTAGTAGAATAGTTTAATTGTGCTTTAGAGTGAATTGTCACAAAGACAAATTTATTTGATTGTCAAGCTAAAATTGACACTTTGTTTAAATATACGGCCCTGCAAAATACCCATTCGTTACAATGTAATGGATATGTTGTCCATTACAATACAGGTATGTATATAATATAACTTAAATAAACCACATAAATAAATGAGCAGACTGGAGTGAGTGAGTCAGTGAGATATGCTATATGAGTAAAAAAACAAATAAGTAAACAAAAGACTAGCATACATGGTATATATGATATATGAGTGTAGGATATGGAGTTGTGAATAAGAAAATGCATAATGAAAAAAGGCCCACAACCAAACAAGATGTCACAAAGCCATCCCAAACGACCCCAAAAAGGACAGAGAGAGGACAGCGTACCCGACGAGGAGTCGGAGGATTTTAGAGCAAAAGACCAACCATCAGGGGTCATAGACGCACAGTGAGGTAGGCGGAGCTCCACTGGCTTCAGGAACTTCAGACCGTGAGGACCACACATCACCAGAGGACTCAGCAGAGTTTCACCTGGAAATAAAAACGCTTTCCTTTAGCATTTACTCCACAGACAAATACATAACTATATATAACAAACACAAAAACATCCCGGCAAGCTATAAATTTAGTACTGATAATCTCACTTGCATTTGGAGTATGGGTTAATTGAAAAAAAACTAACTTTAAAAAAACAAACAAACTTTACAAAAAAAAAAAGAATCCATATCAAACTCCGTATTACCAGGCTTTTTCACAGACCAGAGGAGAAAGACAAAAGTCAGAATCTTCTGGCTCTCAACTTATAAAAGATACGTGACTGACCTTTCTCTTTGTCTAGAGGTGGCAGGATGCTGTTATCCCGACACACTTTGAAGTAGATCTCTTGCTCCACACTCTCAGGAATGGCTCCCTGAGGGATAATGATGCTCACTCCCGTCTCAATGGAGCTCAGGACCCCACCGTTACTGTTGAAGATGCCCCGTGCCGTCGCCACCACCGTGTGGCTGTCATCATCATCATCATCATCATCATCCTCCAAAGCACTTGGGCTGGAAAGAGAAAGAAAAAAAAGGTTAACCTTATTTTTAGTCTGATCTTTAATTTCAGATTTTCTTTATTGTTAAAAAACAAACCAAAAAATCTAGCTATAGCAGAAAAGTAGTATTAGTAGACAAATATCTAGTTCTACTGATTGTGATAATGCTTTGTTTTGTTGGCTACTGTCCTAAATGTACTTCTTATTCAATTTGTTTTTTTAAAACTAAAAAAAAACTACAACATGGATAAAATGTCTACTTACCAAAAAAACGGAAACATGTAAGCTTGACAATTAAGGTGCTGGATTTGAATATACCTGACAGGTATTGCCTTGGGTACAGCGTTGATGTTGTTCTGCTGGTATTTGGGTTTCTGGTCCATGGTGCGGGTGAAGGTGTCCAGGCCGCTGTCGTGGTCTGTCGGCTGGGGTGAGCTCTGTGGTTTGGTTGTGGTACTGATGGGAGCCTTCACATTATCTGTCTTATTTTGAGAGTCATTAGGCAGGAGATTGTGGTTGAACTTGGGGCTGTCAAACTTGTGCTCGAACGGTCTTGCAGAGGTTATGTATGGCTTGGGCACAAAACGGTTGTAGCTGGACGTGGCAGTGCTGTTGATCTTTGGAGGTTCACCGGTGCCGTTAACAGGAGATTTCTCTGGGAAGCTTTTCTGAGGCAGGCAAGTGCTCTGGACTGTGTCTTTATGATTGGGAGGCTTCACTTTGGGAGATCCATGAGAGACGAGAGGTGGGGTCACTGT